TCCTTACGTGATGCCTATTTGCCTCCTCTATTAAAGAGAGCATCTGTTACACCTCTTCCCAAACATTCTCCACCGGGCTCCATTGAAAATGGTATCAGACCCATCTCACTCACTTGCGAAATTGCTAAAGTGATGGAAGGTCTCACCTTAGCGAGAATCCTGCCATCCATTATAAGTCACTTGGATAACAAACAATTTGCTATGGCTGGAAAATCTACGCAACAGGCTATAGTATATATTCTCCATCTAGCCCTCGAGGCCCTTGACAAGGGTGGTTGCACCCTCCGATTTTTCTTTGCTGATTTCCGCAAGGGATTCGATCTGATTGACCACAAGATTCTACTTGATAAACTATCTAAACTTGGCACTCATAACGTTGTGGAAGGATGGATCGCTGCCTTTTGATGCAAATTTCTTTGAAACTGTGCACTATTGTGATGACTGGGAAAATTCACATCAGTCAGTCAGTCAATCAGTCATAGAGTTAACTTTCCGGGGGGTGTATTATGTGTATACGATTTATGTTTGTAGTGATTTATTGTGCTTTGAAGGTCATTTAGGCAATTTCAGTTGTTTTATTTAAATATTTTTTGTTCTTTTGCCAAGTTCACAAAAATTTCGAGGAATCGTTGTCGTTATTGTAAATTTTTGTAAATTTTATAACATTCGCTTCTCATGTTGTGTGAAGGATCTTTCCCCCGGAAAACCCATTTTTTTCTTTAGCAACGCAAATGCGCATGCGCTATCAAGCCGTAGGTCACGATGGCGTGACGATGCTAGGAAGGAGCGCTGGAGCGACACAGTGTTGTTTTCAAGTTATAAACATTTTAGATGTGAATACTGAGTAAATCTTTGAGAATCTACGCAATATATAAATCGATGTTATGCATTACGGACATTCAATTAAGTATCGATATTATTTTGAGGGTATATTCATTGTACAGAGCTAGGAAGCAGCGAGACAGTGTTGTTTTCAAATGTATGAACATTTCAGACATGTCAGTATTATATTGAGAAAATCTTTGAGATACTACGCAATATATAAATTGATGTTATGTACTTATGCATTACGATTTACGGGCATTCAAGTGCCGATATTATTTTGAGGGTACTGTATTGTCATATACATTGTACAGAGCTAGGAAGCAGCGAGACAGTGTTGTTTTCAAATGTATAAACATTTCAGACGTCTATTATATTGAGAAAATCTTTGAGATACTACGCAATATATAAAATTGATGTTATGCATTACGGGCATTCAATTAAGTACCGATATTACTTAGTTTGACGGTATATTCATTGTACAGAGCTAGGAAGCAGCGAGACAAGTGTTTCGAAATGTATAAACATTTCAGACGTGTTTATATTGAGAAAATCTTTGAGATACTACGCAATATATAAATTGATGTTATGCACGTAATGCATTCAAGTGCCGATATTAGTTTGACGGTATGTTCATTGTGCAGAGCTAGGAAGCAGCGAGACGGTGTTGCTTTCAAATGTATAAACATTTCAAACATAAATATTGAGAAAATCTTGGTTTGCGTGTCTACTACAACGTCAACGGTGCAAACTCGTGTTCAGACTTCAGTGCAACGAGAACTCTACCAGATCTTACGAGAATCTATCTGTATCAAAGCTTGTCAAAACAGCTGTAAACACTGCTATAACTGTGATAGCATTGAAATATTGAATATTGATCACATGCGAAAAGCTGAAAATGAATCATGAACACAACGTGACCTTCAAAATAACTCAAAGGTCAGTGAGCTTGTTATTGTGACACGTCACAACTACTTTAAAATGCGGAAGCGGATGCGAAACGGAGCGGATCCACGGAACGGATATGGAGATAAAATGCGGAACGAAACGGATTTGGATAAATCCTCTTTTTACGTTTCCGTGTTTTAGATTTATGTTTTTTTGTAATGGAATACAACGTCGTAGTGCTTATTACACGCTGGTCATATTCGGCGAATTTTCTCCCAATACCGCAGGCTCGCATTTTCAGCGGAATTGCGGTGAAAAATTGAAAGTTTTGCATTTTGCACAGAACTGGCTACTTTCTGTAAGATGTCCGCTGACAATACAAGCCCGCACAAGTGGGAGTACTTTTGCTAAATTGGACCAACGTGTTATTCATAACATATCTTATACAGCTATTTCAATTAAAGTTGTGACTGGGACAATAGTCAAATGTACAATATGGGCGCTAAAACGATGATGGCATTGGCAATAATCATAGATTTAAGTACTATTTAAAAACGCGTAGGAGTGTTTTATCACATATAAAACACGACGCGTAGCGGAGTGTTTTATATGTGATAAAACATGACTACAAGTGCTTTAAATAGCTTCAAAAACGACTCATCTTATACGAGTTCATTGGCGAAGTAATTTTTAAAATAAACTTTGTCTAAACCGAGAAAATCAAAGCTAAAGTTTATGTAAATTAACGTGATTTTTATCACATATAAAACCACGACACGCTTATGATTTTTCTTTGTGTTTTGCTCCTGAATTATTAATGAGTTTTTGAAATAAGTTTAGCATATCAGTAGCCTTGTGGGGATACTTGGCGACAGCTCCAATAAATTGTGTCAGTTCCACGAAGCACGACGTTTCTGATGTGTTAGGCTTGTTTTAAACGTCGGGTTACTCGTGTGCCGAACGCATTAAAAACAATAGATAATGAGATGAAATGCCTATGATAACTGTTTATTTCGTAGTGTAACCCATGTGACGACATGTGATTAAGGCTATAAGCCACGCTTGAAAAGCTATTCAATTAATAAGCATGCCTTATAGCGTTTGTCTTTGAAACTCTGCACTATCCTTGGATCCCTAGTTT